GGTGAGTAATCAGAGGATAGATCGAAAAATGGTTCCAGTTTTTCATGTGACATACTGATACCACGTCTGATATTTTTGTTTTGTTTGTTGGTTAGTAAATTGGCTACTAGGTAGATATAATATCTAAGCTAAGCTTGCTAAGCTTTATACAGAATTCTTCTATTTGGAGAAATAAGTCTGAAAACTCAGTTTAAGTCTGAAAAAGTTTAAATTTTACATTTTTAATAATAAGGCATCTAATCCTAGTTTATATCAAACATTTTTTAACTTTAATTTAAATTATAATTTCACCTAATAAATTAATTTTAAATTTTACTTAAATAATTTAACTAACTTTAAAATAAAACATTTTTATTATTTGTTTAACCGCAACTGCTGGCACAAATTTTGTTAATATTATAATTATAACTAATTCTTAATTTCTTAAATTATTAATATCAATAACTGCTTTTAAATAAATAAAATAAATTTTTTAAATTAATTAATGATCACTCTATGTGATTATTAATTATATGTAAAATTAATTTTAAACAATCTTGTAAGCTAAAATTAAACTTTATAATAATTTACAAAAATCTTGTACTTATTAGAAATTTATTAATAAATTTATAAAAAATAATAAAATTTAAAATAAATATATAAATTAAATAAAATATTTATAACACATAAAAATAATTCTTAACTATAATTTTGTCCCCTTTAATAATAATTTACAAAAATCTTATATTTATTACAAATTCATTAAATAACTTAATTTTAATAGAAACTATACAAAGTTAAATCAATAAATATCTATATTTATATAAATATTTAATAAATAATAGATATCTATTAATCTAAATTTCAAAAAATTTTTAATTTAGAAATCGTTAAATTTTATTAGTTATGTTTTGTCTAATATTGCATTCAAAAATATTGCCAAACATATGAATAATTTATTAATTAATGTTTATATATCAAACCATTATTATTACAACCCTATTTCATTAAATAATTTATATATAAATTCCACTCTTATATATTTATATTTATAAAATATTTAAAAAATGTGTCATATATAATATTTTAAATTATGAAATAGATAATTTATTTATAGATAATTTATATTATCTATAATTAATTTTATACAATATAAATATATTTTAAAAATTTATAATTTTTTTTAATTATAATATTTATTAATTAAATAATTTAATTTACATTTAAAAATAATTTGGGTTTATTTTGAAAATAAATAATTTACTTTTTAATTAAAAATTCAATTTTTTATTTATATATATGTCTCTATTCTTTTTTTAATTTAACTTCAATAGAGACGATACCAGGTTAGATCAATAAATATCTATATTAATTTAAATATTTAATTAATTAATATATCAACTGTCGGTAATAGGAACATAAGAAATACTATATGTGCATATGAACTATCTTACCAGCACATTCGAGAATAGGGGTTTCTCGTAAAGTTGGTATAACTGGATGACGGTCATACTTATTTAATTTACAATCGTACGTTGGTTTACAATTAAAAGAATCTTAGATTGCATTTTAGTAAGATAATACTTAGTTAAAATTTATATCTTATTTTCGAATTTCTATAGGTGCAATTATGTTCGGCAATAATGATATTTTTGTCTTCGGATTGATTAGAAATATCTGTAACTATTTTGAGTGCGTAACGTATTCCATATCTATGGAAGTCTTGTGTATAAATTATGAAATTCTTGAATTATCTTGAACTTGGCTGATCCGTATCGGTAATTCTTGAAAAGTTTTAGTGTCCATACTATTGCGAGCATCTGTTCTTCATTTGTAGCTAGTGCTCTTCAGCCTCATTTAATGTTCTTGAAATAAAAATGTTTGGTTTGTCTTATTGAGCAAGTTCTCCACGTAATGCATACTGTGAACCAATTGTTATAAGTTGCAAATCAGTTTTAAAGTTAGGATAAGATAATAAGACATCTTCTCAAGTTAGCGTTCTTTTAAATTTGTTGAATGCTTCGATTGCATTTTCATTGAGAGTAGTACGTTTTTTACCTAATTATTTTTGCAGACTCGTTCTTCTTGCATTCTTAAAAGAATCGTCAAGGGTTTTGCAATGCTTTAACTTTGGCGTAGTCCTTAATAAAACGATGAAAAAAGCTTGAGCGACGTAAGTACGATCTCTTCTTTTGCTGAATTTATTTCATCCCATTTAAAGAATAATGAATCCTAAAAACTCGACTGTGCTTTTTAGACATTCACACTTATATTGGGTTGAATTTTTATATTTGTCTTTTCCAAGGTTTAAACAATTTATTCGATATTATCGAATTGGGCTTTATTATCTGTACCAAAAATTAAAACAGAATCTTTGTAAACATAGCATGGTTTTTCTATATGTTCTCCAAGAATGTCAACAGAGCTCTCTGTAAGATAGTATGTGCATTTTCTAATCCAAATGGGAGTCATATAAATTCGAATATGTAGATTAAAGCTGATAGAGGATGATAATTCCAATTTTGAAGGAATATTTTCTATGTTAGTATATTGTGATTACATGCGGATACATTTGCAATGATGTTTCTAGTTCGCGCAACAAACATTAGTTAAAGTGCTTTCTATAAATTTAAATAGACATAACTGACTGTGAACTATTTCCGAATCTGGTTAAGTCCACATGAATTGTAAAAATAATCATTTTACTAATTAGAAATTTGGAGCAATATTTTGCGTGGTTGCTGATAAAACAACTATTGTCCATTGTAGTTTTGAAATCTTCATAATATTTCACATTTTACACAGAACTTGAACTCATCATTAAAGATCTAATATTAGTTTCTCTTAGAAGAAATTATAATAATTACTTTTTATCGCTCTCTTCAGTTTAATTTATTTCGTTTAATGGTAATGTGATTATATATAATCCTTATATTATATTGTACGATTTGAATAGCAAAACTATCAATTCGCATTGATTTACTTTTGCACTGTGATCAAAGATGAATAAAAGTGAATATTGACTTCCATCGCAGAAACTGATAAAGTGTTCTTCAAGTCCATGACATTGTTTAATGCCCAGTGGTTCCTTAATTCACTCAGAGATTAAAGTTTTCAAATTATTGAAAAGAACTATATTTATCAAAAAACCTGTAAAATGTACAACTAAAGCTGTAAACTGATATATCACAGCACTTTAATTTTCCATTTAATAATACTTAATATAAAAGCGCAGAATTAATGTATTGAAGGAGGATAATTCCAACTTTGAAGGAATACTCTCTATATTAATATAACGTGGTTGCATATGTGGACATTCGTAGTGATATTTCCAAGTCACGTAATGGTTCACGTAATGCTCTCTATATATAGATATCGGAATGGGTGATTTTGAAATATTTTCGAATCTGGTTTTGTAAATTTTATTTGTTTTTTCAAATTGTTGTTTTTTAATTTAGATTAATTTATTGAATCTTTCCTTTGAAAACTAACAATAATTTATCAAATCGTAAAGCTAGTATATTTTGTGTTATTTCCTGTACCATTGTACTAGAAATTATTACATTATCACTAATTTATAACGAAATAGTTTTTAAATATATTTTGACAAAAAAAATATAGACTCATAATATTAGTGATAAGAATTATTGCAATATAAACAAACATCATCAATATTAATATTATCAAGTAGTTAAAGAGGGAAAATAGTTTTCATGTGCATTCTACATTCTACATCCACGTTTTTAATTGCAGTCTATTTAGATCTATTTATTTAGGTATTAGAGTTATGTTGAAAGCAGTACCCCAAAGTTACATCGCATACACTCAGCATGATTTTATTATTGTATTAGCAAGAAGCATTTTATTGTCTAGACTAGGTATTGAGTTGGGATCAACAATCTAATGAAGGTTGGAAATTTTCTGTTATGCTAGTATTAGTATATTGTTTATATGATTTTTCCATGGTAATCTGCTGTCGAGTGTTACTCCGAAATTGCTAACTGAATCTATTTGGGGAAATGCTTTTCTATTAAAAATCAATGTCGGACATGACCCCTTTTTTTAGAGTATCCTTCATTTGAATGCATTTCGATTCATTAATTTCAATTCTCCTCTTATGTAGCTGTTCCTCCACATTATTTAATTGCTTTTGCACCATATTTGTGGTAGTAGCGGAATTCGGATGAATGCTTAGTATTATTTAATATCTTGATTTTCTTGATTTCTTGATGGATTTTGCCGGTAATATTTTAATATCTGATAACTTCATTAAGTGGCATTATTTTAATCTTATCGGTGAATTTCTTACATTTAAATTTTTGGTATGGTGTTACTGGGCCCTTCATTTGCTTTTAAAACTTTAGATAGATGAATGGCAAAAGCATCAGTACTAGCCCATTCCCTATTTTGTAACCGAATTGGATTATCTCTAAGGATTAAATTTTTTATATTCTTAGCTGAGCGCCAGAGGGAATAATCTATGAGGTGTGTCATAGTTAGAAATTGAATATATGATTGAAGCCGTGTTTACTTCGAATGTAAATTTCATTTATACAATTGTAGTCTACTCTTTAGAGCTGTTGAGCAGGGTATTTGCTATTCTGTTCTAGTTTGTTTTTTCTTATTAACTAAGCTGCCTACTACTTGTTATAACTTCGTAGCATCGATACAATTGCTACATTTACAATGACTATAATAATGGTTTTGAATACAACGTCTAATATTTAATATATGTGGTATATAATATTTAATATTTAGTATATGTGAACTAATACACTTCTTATATTTAAGTCAATTTGTGATTTTATAAGTATAGTTTTTAAGAGTTTATAGTTTACTGAAGTAATTAATGAAGGTGAGTAATCAGAGGATAGATCGAAAAATGGTTCCAGTTTTTCATGTGACATACTGATACCACGTCTGATATTTTTGTTTTGTTTGTTGGTTAGTAAATTGGCTACTAGGTAGATATAATATCTAAGCTAAGCTTGCTAAGCTTTATACAGAATTCTTCTATTTGGAGAAATAAGTCTGAAAACTCAGTTTAAGTCTGAAAAAGTTTAAATTTTACATTTTTAATAATAAGGCATCTAATCCTAGTTTATATCAAACATTTTTTAACTTTAATTTAAATTATAATTTCACCTAATAAATTAATTTTAAATTTTACTTAAATAATTTAACTAACTTTAAAATAAAACATTTTTATTATTTGTTTAACCGCAACTGCTGGCACAAATTTTGTTAATATTATAATTATAACTAATTCTTAATTTCTTAAATTATTAATATCAATAACTGCTTTTAAATAAATAAAATAAATTTTTTAAATTAATTAATGATCACTCTATGTGATTATTAATTATATGTAAAATTAATTTTAAACAATCTTGTAAGCTAAAATTAAACTTTATAATAATTTACAAAAATCTTGTACTTATTAGAAATTTATTAATAAATTTATACAAAATAATAAAATTTAAAATAAATATATAAATTAAATAAAATATTTATAACACATAAAAATTATTCTTAACTATAATTTTGTTCCCTTTAATAATAATTTACAAAAATCTTATACTTATTACAAATTTATTAAATAACTTAATTTTAATAGAAACTATACAAAGTTAAATCAATAAATATCTATATTTATATAAATATTTAATAAATAATAGATATCTATTAATCTAAATTTCAAAAAATTTTTAATTTAGAAATCGTTAAATTTTATTAGTTATGTTTTGTCTAATATTGCATTCAAAAATATTGCCAAATATATGAATGATTTATTAATTAATGTTTATATATCAAACCATTATTATTACAACCCTATTTCATTAAATAATTTATATATAAATTCCACTCTTATATATTTATATTTATAAAATATTTAAAAAATGTGTCATATATAATATTTTAAATTATGAAATAGATAATTTATTTATAGATAATTTATATTATCTATAATTAATTTTATACAATATAAATATATTTTAAAAATTTATAATTTTTTTTAATTATAATATTTATTAATTAAATAATTTAATTTACATTTAAAAATAATTTGGGTTTATTTTGAAAATAAATAATTTACTTTTTAATTAAAAATTCAATTTTTTATTTATATATATGTCTCTATTCTTTTTTTAATTTAACTTCAATAGAGACGATACCAGGTTAGATCAATAAATATCTATATTAATTTAAATATTTAATTAATTAATATATCAACTGTCGGTAATAGGAACATAAGAAATACTATATGTGCATATGAACTATCTTACCAGCACATTCGAGAATAGGGGTTTCTCGTAAAGTTGGTATAACTGGATGACGGTCATACTTATTTAATTTACAATCGTACGTTGGTTTACAATTAAAAGAATCTTAGATTGCATTTTAGTAAGATAATACTTAGTTAAAATTTATATCTTATTTTCGAATTTCTATAGGTGCAATTATGTTCGGCAATAATGATATTTTTGTCTTCGGATTGATTAGAAATATCTGTAACTATTTTGAGTGCGTAACGTATTCCATATCTATGGAAGTCTTGTGTATAAATTATGAAATTCTTGAATTATCTTGAACTTGGCTGATCCGTATCGGTAATTCTTGAAAAGTTTTAGTGTCCATACTATTGCGAGCATCTGTTCTTCATTTGTAGCTAGTGCTCTTCAGCCTGATTTAATGTTCTTGAAATAAAAATGTTTGGTTTGTCTTGTTGCGCAAGTTCTCCACGTAATGCATACTGTGAACCAATTGTTATAAGTTGCAAATCAGTTTTAAAGTTAGGATAAGATAATAAGACATCTTCTCAAGTTAGCGTTCTTTTAAATTTGTTGAATGCTTCGATTGCATTTTCATTGAGAGTTGTACGTTTTTTACCTAATTATTTTTGCAGACTCGTTCTTCTTCCATTCTTAAAAGAATCGTCAAGGATTTTGGCGTAGTCCTTAATAAAACGATGAAAAAAGTTTGAGCAACGTAAGTACGATCTTTTCTTTTACTGGTTTTATTTCATCCCATTTAAAGAATAATGAATCCTAAAAACTCGACTGTGCTTTTTAGATATTCACACTTATATTGGGTTGAATTTTCATATTTGCCTTTTCCAAGGTTTAAACAATTTTTTTGATATTATCGAATTGGGCTTTATTATCTGCACCAAAAATTAAAACAGAATCTTTGTAAACATAGCATGATTTTTCTATATGTTCTCCAAGAATGTCAACAGAGCTCTCTGTAAGGTAGTATGTGCATTTTCTAATCCAAATGGGAGTCATATAAACTCGAATAAATTAAAGTAGATTAAAGCTGATA